AGGATATGATGTTGTGGAAGGAAGGAAGGAAGGAAGGAAGGAAGGAAGGAAGGAAGGAAATATAAAATTTTAAGATGCTATGATCTTGTGAGATTTCACTGCAAAATGACTGCTGCAGCTTCACTTTGACACTGGAGGTGAGTTGGGATAAGGAGAAGTAGGCAGGCAAGAAAGACAAGAAGGAAAATTGGGCTGGGATGGAAGGAAGAAGGACAAAAAAATGGAGAAAAATAAGGCTGGAGGGAGACAAGAAAGTAGGGAAAACACAGAGAAGTGGGAAAGGAAGGACTGAAGCAAAAGAGGCAGATGGAGGGATACAGGTGGGAGGGAGTGACAGAAGGGAACAGGACAGTGTGAGGAGCTGCAAGGGGGAAAGGAAAGACTGGAAGTAAAGCAGCAGATGTGGTATTGAAGCAGGTAGGCAAGAAGAAAGGGAAATGAAAGCAATAAAAGTTACAAGACTTGCAAGGGGAAGGGAGGGAGGGAGGGAGAAGTTGGAGATATTTCAGTGAGGCAGATCAGCTGGGTGGATGACATTCCCCCAGATGGTCTCATGAATCCCCCACTTGTGATTAACTAAATCCACATTACTGCACAAAATGTATATTTTCCCTAGTTTTCTTGGTGGAATTTCAGGCATCAGATCACCAAAAAGAAATTTGTATTCTATATCCTTGCCTGCAGTGTTGATGACATTCATTTATTAATGCTGATGTCCCCTCCTCCATGTGTGAGGCTCAAAGCAACTAGGGTTGCCAAGTCAATTTTTCTTACCGGTAGGGGAGCCTCACCGGGCTCCGGGAGCTATCTGTTGACGTGTGCGCGCGAAGCGCGCGCCGCCAGCACATCACCAAAAGTGACGCGCAATGTCGATCACGTTGAAGGCGTGGCCCTGATCATCGGAGGGAAAACCATAGAGTTTTCCCTCCGGCGATTGGGGCCATGCCCCCAATGTGATTGACGTGGTTGCGTCACCTCTGGTGACGCAGCCACGCTGTGCTTCGGGGGGGGGGGGCGGAGTTCCCCCGGGGCCCGATTCCGCGGCTGCAGGAATTGGGCCTCCGAAGCGGGGGTTTACCCGCCACCCGCCCCCACTTGGCAGCTCTAAAAGCAACGGCCCCTATTGGTCACCCTAAAGAGCCTGGGGGAATGAGCATCTTATTGATTTTTTGTTTTAAGATTTTGTTTTTGAGCAAATACTTGGTTACTGCTAGCACTTTTACTTACTTTAAACATTGAGATGTTAAATGTAAGTGTAAATTTAGGACCAGAACAGGATGTCTCCAAAAATCTCTTAAAATCACACAGAGATAAATATTACTAGAACAATTTGTTGGGGCCAGTCATCCTCAGCAACCCAATGATGATCATTTGCTCTCCTCTGTCAAAAAGCATCCAAACAACCTGGGGCAGACTGTCCTTCAGCTTTTGGGAAAGTTCCCAGTAGGTCATTTCCCTGGAAGACTGATAAGACGCCAAGGGCAAGTTGAACTGATCTTATCCCCAGTGGTGCTCACAGCCTAGAGGAGGCAAATTGTCTTGGACCCAGACTGGAGTGATGACAATAGCCAAAAATTTGCCTCAAAATTTGCCTATTCCTAGGCTGATGTCAGCTGGGCCCAAACCAAGTGACCACTGCAGAGCTACTAAAGTTGTAGAGGATACTCAGCTTGCTTTCTGGCTTTCCCAATTTGCCCTCGAGAGCTACGACTGTCCACCTAAAGATCAGCTCCCAGACTGAATTGTTACATCCTTCCAGATGTCAGCACAGCGAATATTCCTGTCTCACAGCCTGAGAATCACTAAAGCAGTGATAACAATAAAAATTTCATTCTTTTCCACAAGCCAAGACAGTAGAAAAAATTCTTAAAAGAGACAGAAAGAACAGAAATTTGCATGAATCTAAGAGACACTCCAGTTGCTATACAAAACATATTGCTGCAAAGAATCAACTAGTTTCTAGTAAAAAAATACTTTTATCTAAACTTCAACTTTTTGTAACCTGAGATCATTTGTCCTGATTTTGCTGACTAGATAAACAAAGTCCAAAAAGACATGCATGCACATGCACTCACTCATAAACACTCACAAACATATAAACAAAGACATAGGAATATTTTTATTCAGCATTGTTTTACAATCATGTTTATTTAAACCAGGAGTGAATCCTTCAAGTATGAATTATTAAGAGTAATCTTCTCTGGAATTATTTTTCTGATGAAGCAGAAACAGATGCAAAATGGAGTCAAGATTTATTATGGGATAATAAAAGTGTAAGATGATTTGAGAATAATGCAAGCAATTGTGGGGAAGATGTTAAAACTAGCAGATGTTAAAAATTATGACAGTTTAAAACTGGTAAAGAAAGCAATACCAATAAAAGACAACTTTATAGCTAGGCTGCTTTAAAGCTGTAGAGTCTTTAATAATGTTTTTCTGAGGGTTTCTTGTTTTTTGCTATAGTGGTATGTACACTGAAGCCTAGAGTGTTATTTAGATGTTCATTGCCCACAAATATGGGGAATACCAAAAAACAAAGCCAAGAACAGGGTAAATCAGGTGTAAGAACCATCACAAATTAATACATTTATTTCAGTCGATACCACTAGAAGCACACAGTAAAAAGTTAGAACATTGGAACAGAGTGATTAGAGAATGGGTATTTGGTAGCAAGAAGTGCAGAACCCAAAAGAGGTTGATATATGGTCCCAAAGTGGAGCTAGGATGGGAAGTCCCGGAGCTAAACAGCTATTATGAAGCCTTCCAAATAAAGTCCCTATTAGAGATAGGTGAAGGTGAAGAGCAAAAATGGGTTAGATTTGAGAATGAGATCAATAATTACATTGGCTGCTGGGGGCCTCTTTGTAAAGTCACAAAAACAGACCTCAAACTAACCAAAGGCCCCAGATATGCAGCCTTGGAAGCGTGGAGTAAGTGGCAAGAGCTATCGCTAAGAAAAACTTCAAGTTGGGCACCATTAAAATCTATAAATAGGGAAATAACAGGAAACGAATGGTGGGAATGGCTAAAAGCTAAAGGTTATTATAGGATGAGAAGGTCAGATAACAGAAAGCATGGCAAGTAAAATAATGAAAGGAACTGAGGAAATTAAAGTAATTAAATTTAATGTAATGGAGCATAAATTTCTTACTAAATGGTATAAAACACCAACACAAATGGCAAACATGTTCCCAGGGATGAGTCCTAGATGCTGGCATTGCAGACAATCAAAGGGATGGTATTCCCATACGTGGTGGGAATGCCCAGAGGTCAGAGTTTTCTGGACAAAGATATTACAGATTATAAAAAAGACATGTAAAGTATCATTGCCCATCATCTTTAATTTAATGCTAATGGGTATAGTAGGAAACCCAGCAATAAGCAAAGAGAACCAAGCTTTGTTTAAAGCCATGATACTAGCAAGTAAAGCAGTAATAGCTCTAGGCTGGAAGAACAAAAATAAATAGACAGTAGAAATCTGGCATAATTATTTGTTTGATCTCATACAGTCCGACATAATCGAAAAGTTGGAACGAAAGGCCACATGGGAAGATAAGACTACGGGAATCACGATGAAGTGGAAGACCTATCTGGAATGGATACCTACAGAAGGAAGAAAAGACATTCAGAGCAAGATTCGGACTTTGTGCCTGTGAATATAGGACTAAAACACCGGAATAGCATAGGGGGGAGGGGGGAGGGGAAAAAACTACTATGTAATGTATGATCAAAAGATAAGATGTAAAATTTGTGAAAAATAATTAAAAAATAAATATTAAAAAAAGGAACCATCACAAATAATCTCAGCTTTAAGTCTGCAAGCAATTCACCAACTAAGCTGGAGCACTAGCTGTGTGAAAGTTCATGCACTGAGCCCAATTTAAAATCCTCACTGTTGGCTGTTCAAGAGAGAAAGTGGATGATTGCATTCAGGGCCTCCTGCTTCCTTTTCCCTCAAACTGTTGATGGGCGGACTTAATTTCTTTTTTTTTTAAATCACAAGCATCTCCAGCTCCTCTAAACAAGCTACATGAAAAATTTGCTGCACACATTTATTTATTACATCATTAATTTTAGTATTATTAACTTAGTATTGCTGATCCGTCCCATGGTTCCTTAGTAAAATACATCCATTGGCCTCGCATCCATCAAAGAGCATGAAAACGTTAATGCAAGCAGCTATTATTTATATAAGTAGACTACAGTACTCTTCCTAACCACCAAGGACTACTAGGAAGAGGGAAGGCATTCTCAAAGTACTGAGACACAGATGGACAACAATGAAGTCTGTGCAGACAGGTAACATTTACCAAGTGCAGAGACATATTCCAAGGACTTGTACTCCACAAAATGTCAGTGCTTTTAATGTCAAGGGTGATAATTTTAAAACAAGAGGAGAAAAACCCTGTAATCTTTAAAAATGTCACAGTTCACATAAACTGTTTTAGATTTCTCTGCTGTTACTAGTCATATGTTGCACTGTTGAGTTTGCAAATTCCCTTTCTGCTACTCAAATCTATCTTCTAAATGATCAGTATGATCTTAGAGTTATAAAGTGTGAAAATTAATAATCTCTCAGTGGTCACTATAACCAGGGAGCCCGCTGAACTGAGTGCCATCATCCCCACTGGCCAGATCTGAACCACGCAGGGCATTGGCCCAGTGGTAACTTAAGGGGTCAGTACCTTGAAGAGCCAACTTGCCCCTAAGTGTAATTATATTTCTCCACCTACGAGTACATAGTTTCTAGACATATGGAGGTTTATACAAGAAATTATGTCTTTGTATAGCTTGTGATCAATACAGTACCTTTCAGGAATAACTGGATGCTGTACATTCGAAGTTCTTACTTGGATTCTCATTTTTTAAATCCTCTATCCACAGATGTCCTCTTTGTATGAAAATGTTAAGCCCTAGTTTCGGCAATTCACCAGGACTCCAAAGATATTTATGTTTGGGGTTTGGTTTTTTTACATTTAAGTAGAAACAAACAGCATTACCTGTCTGCATCCACAGTGACATCATGAACCCCTCTTTGAATGACGTCTCGGGAGGCAGCTATGTCTGGTATTCGATTCAAGCTTCTCGTATACAGGTTGAGCCCTCCATCTGTCATGTAACTGAAAATAAAAGTACAGCGTATCAGAAGAAAATGCTACCATCTGGTGCTAATTATTTATACAGTACCATCAATGTACAGTGTTGCTGATCTAAAGAAAGCAACAGAAAGCTCTTGTGCTGGCGAGCTTAAATTCTAAAGCAGAATTATGCAAACTTATTCCAGTGGAACCTCATTGACTCAGGAAAGCAATTGGTTAAGATTTGTTGTAGCAAGAGAACACAGTAAAAATATCAAGAACATCTGGATCAACACCACTGTAGGCCTTCACAGGAAAAAAACAAAAGAAAAAACAGCTGTTCATTAGCACTACAGATTCTGTCACTTCGAGCCCTATGGAAAAAGATTCTACAAGGAATCAGCAGACTGGAGATGTATCTACTCTGCATATCTTTTTTTCAGTGGCATACGGATTTCTTTTTAGAAAGAGCAGTCTAATTCAATATCTTGTTATACTCTCACACAATAGTGAGATTTTCAGAGGAAGGTGAATTTCAATAAACAACTTTCAACTGAAAACTAAGGTGGTACAGTGTTGTGAGAGTCCAACTTAAGCAAATGAATGTTGAAGGAAAATACAAAAACAATATCTTTCCAGAAATGCCCGCTCATGTCCTTACTCTTGCCAGAAACAGATCAAAGTAGAAGGAAAGAACAGTGCTAGCTATACTGATATCCTGCTAGTGGATTTCTGGATCTCTTCCCCAGTTCTCCCATTTATGCAGTTAGGATACGCAGTTGGGCACCAACCACACTGACTGACACTCCCATCTCCTGGCCTAATTAAGACCTGATTAATGGATAATGTAAGCCATGGGTAAACCTTTACTCATGTATTGACCATGTTCACCATGTGCCCTTTGATCATATGTGTTTGGCTTATTTATGTGTAACTTTAGCACACCAGCAGGCTACAAAGTGCATATTTCTGTTTTATTGCACATGGACTGTGTAGTTGGAAAGAGGTCCAAGCAGGGCTTTTTTGGTAGAATTAGCCAAGCAGGAACTCATTAGCATAATAGGCCACACCCAACATCAGAAACTCATTAGCATATTAGGCCACACCCATGACAGCGCAGCTCAGCCTATTAGGCCACACACCCCATGCCTTCCCTCGGCTTGCCTGGGTGCCCCGCGGCTGCAGGGAGCACAGGCAAGCTGGCCCTTGGTGGGAAGGGAAGGCAGTTTAAACTGCCTTCCCTTGGCTTGCCCGGGTGCCCCTTCCCTCTGTAGTCATACACGCAGAGGTTTTGGCTGTAGTGGGCATGGCCAAATCTGAAGCCAGCTGGAACTCCGTTCCTGTGCGTTCCTGCCCAAAAATAGCCCTGGGTCCAAGTATTTCCTTGCTTCTTTGCAACTGGTGTAGGGCTCAATTTTTTTTAAAAAAAACTTTGTTTTTATTAATGTTTTACAATTGAACAGAGCAAAGTGATAATACTTGTTGAACAATTCAAATAGCTAATATAGTAATAACGACATAACCTTTACCATTGTTATCTGGTATACCATCGGGACTGTGGTTGCATGAATATTATGGTCAAATCTGCATTTGTCTTTCCCACGGGTGTCCCAGCCTTCTGACTCCATCTTCAAAAAAGCTGTCTACATTTGGTTTCATTTTCACACCTCAACAGTGCTAGCATACTTTTGCATGTCTGCATATGTGTATTGCCCTTTCGTGGTGGCTCCACTGTCATTGCATCTCTGCACTGCTTTAAAAGAATCTTCTCCAAACAACATTCAAACAAGCATAGAAAAACACGGCGTCAAGGCAGCACGAAACTGATTTAAAAATGCAAATGCAGATTCGACCAAAGTCTACCTACTAGCTAGTGCTCACATCATCAAAGGGTAACACCAGCAGGTAACCTCAGCACCTTTTGTTTTTTGTTTAGTGAGACTTCTTTTTGCTCTTGTCTTTCCATTTCTAGAGTGGGAGCATACTTGTACTCTAATTTTAAAAAGAATTAGGAATAATCCATAGTGAGGCTATACAGTATTTTCTTCTTCATCAAACACTTCCCATCCCCAAATCTATGTTCAGAAATAAAACATTATAGTCCCAGTCCAGATTAAGTTTGACATGAACTGTTGCACCAACTTGTTAAGGTGTTTATTCTTGTCAAGGCCAGCTCTTACAACTGTTTTATGAATTATTGTTTCTAGTCATAAATTCAATCTTGTGTGTGATATTTTTGCCTTGGTCAAAGATGGCTCTGAACTCCTGCATGATGAGAATTCTCCCAGGAATATTCTGTTCTGATTTGTCTATGTTGTGAAACAGAACTGTATGCACTTTTTTTTTTGGGGGGGGGGGATACATGTTGAATTCAGGTATGGATATATGTCTATTATTATAGTGGTAAAAAGACAGTACAAATTGTAATAGGAATCAAAATGCACAATACGTTAGCAAAATGTATATCATGTGTGTATCTACATAAACAAGGTTCACAAAAATTCACAGTGGGTTACTGAAAGAATACAGAACTGCATATCTGACACAGCAAAACTACACAACAAATACAGCATTTTAAAGTGTAGTGTAGAAGTTAAAGTGTTGGAGTAGGATCTGGGAGATCCAGAAAGATCTGACTGTGCCATGAAGTTCAAAGTGTGACCTTGGACTGGACCAGGTATTCTCTTTTAAGAGAAACTACCTCACAGGTTTCCTCAAAACAACCCAGTCAGATAGTTTTGGTTAATGGAGGGGCCATGTACCTGAACTTTTTGGAGGAAGGAAACAAAAATGTATTAGTCAAAATGGACCAAATGACATTCATTCAACCTAGCCCCCAGATCGCCTTCTGTTTGGAAGGACCTGTTGTAAAAACCATCACATAAATTTGACCACGGTGGGATTTTTTTAAAGTGAAATTTGAGCTTTTAAAATAAATTCACAATTTGGAATGCATTCTGCAGATAATGAAGTTTGAACTATATTCTCTGTTTCTGTAGAATCTAAATAAAATGAAGGCGAAAATCTTCCACACTTCAAGGTATTTTAATTTTTGTACGAGTAAATGCGTTAGTGGAGAGTCTCAAACACATGAAGCAGGGCTGTCTCATATTAATTCTTAATTACTGTTGGATTCCATCCCCAAGTGTTTAAACTAATTAAAGTGGGAATGAAAGTGGAAAAAGAGATAAGACTTGCCATGCCTGAATGAAGCATGAATTTTCAGTGCTTATTTATTCTTATTTTTAAAATCCTCAGAAACTGTATTTAAAAATGTCCTAGCCAAGAGCACTGGGACTCACTAATACTAAGTCTTTCTCACTGGAGATGTAAAAAAAGACAATTTAATTTATTCTTGACAGTGATAAGTTAATATATATTTTAGTGAAGCAATAAAATATTGCTGTTGTTCAGTATACGTTGAAGGAAAAATATTCAACAAAAATATCAATAGAAATCTCAAAGCCTCACATTGCCTTGAACATTTTCATGGGGTACACAAATATATACAACATCTTTCATCAGGGATCAGCACACTCCAGAGTAGCAGGATCTATCTTTTTGTTACAGGCATAACATAGATTATACCAACTCCCTTCCGAGGAAAGAAGTTTCATAGTTTGTGGACAGTAACACACATCTTTCCCAGGTCTAACATTGTTCCAAGAAGCGAAATTTATTTTTTCCAAAATTCACTTCTTCAGATACAGCCATTGATTCTTATTACTCCCTCTTTTGTCTCTTATAAGAGGGATTTTTTTTTCATTCTCTTTGTAGATATATCAATGCACTCTTCTTTAACTTCAGTCCTTTCATTGTTTGCACACAAAAGCTTATATCGGACTCAAACTTTGTTCTGCTGCTTCAGACCAACCCAGCAACCCCACCTGAATCTGTCTTCAAGTATTTCAGTTATTTTATGTTATAGGCCACGAGGTGGTGCTCTAGTAGGAGGACAGAAGGTTTTGGAAAAACATTGCCTGCCTCTGAACATCTACAAAGTAAAATTCTGAAATTTTGCAGAACTTCCCTTTTTGCTCCTCCACTCTTTGAGAAAAATGAAATTGATTAGAAAATGGAATTGATTAGCAACTGACTCCAAATTCCTTAAAAGAGGAAAAGAAGTGAATTGTTGGATTTCAGGGGGAAATTTATTAAAGAGAATATCTCTTGACAGTGCTACCTGGGTACCTGTTAATCTTCCTGTAGTGAAGATTCCCTTAGCAGAGATCCACTAGATGACTTCCCAGACAAGTTTCTTCCCAATCCCTTTTCTAAGTCGTTCCAACATTAAGGTTGTCTTTCTCACTTTTATTGCCTATGAAATGACATTTCCAGTAAGCTATTCACCATGATCCCAAAATCTGTTTCCTAGGTAGTAATAACTAATTCAGACCCCAATTAAGACACTAAGCTTGACAACGCAATCTATAGGACCACTACCACCAATGAGGACCGCTCCTACAGCACCACCGGAGGTTGAGTGGCAATGAACATCAGGGGGCCACAGGAACCTCCCTGGAACTGAACCTCCTCTGGAATCGAACCTCCCCTGGAGTGGACGGGGCATGTGCAATATTGAGTGAGGGTTTTTTCGTCATGCTAGATTCTGGGCGTGTCCCATGTATAAATGGTTTTAAACTGTTTTATTGTATTTTATCGCACGTTGTGCCTATTGTTGTAAGCCGCCCTGAGCCCGCACGCGGGGAGGGCGGGGTATAAGTGGAAATAAATAAATAAATAATAAATAAATCATTCTTGATTTAATCATTCTTAATTGTTCAAAGAATGTTCAAAATGTTTCACATATATCATCTCAGTAACCCTTTCAAAAGGTCTTTAAGGTACTTATATAAGTACCATTGCTGCAACCAACTTATGGTGACCCTAAGAAGATGCTTTCAAGGCAAGTAAGAAGCAGAAGTTCTGCCATTGCCTTCCTCTCCAGAGTCTTCCTTGATGGTTTCCATTCCAAGTACAGATCCTGCTTAGCTTATGAGATCTGATGAGATTGTGTATACTATACTGCTTTTCCTCCTGGT